CAAAGACTGTTTTTCTAAATTAAATGCTAATTTCTTGATCATTCACCATAGAGAATGCTATCTGATTTTAAAAGACCTTTTTTTATGCACTGCTTGTTTGTACATAATTCTGATGGTTTTCCCTAAAGTCCTTTAATGATACTTTTCTCTTGACAAATATTGTTTTCCTTGTTCTCCCTTTCATTAATTCTTGTCCTTTCCCTAGGAGCGGAAAATAATTGAGGACACTGTGGTTCCATTTACTATTTCTTCAAGTTCTGCAGACCAGCTCTCTACATCTTCCTCCGTGACAGAAGGCAGTGGGACAGTGGTGAGACCATAGATTAAAAGCAATTCGTGAAATAAGTAAACCAAAATAAAAATACAAAACCACAAGGCCAAGTTTCCCACCAGTTTATACACAGGACTGCCATAGAATCATGTCAACTACTACATGGCCGTGGTACCCCATGGTACCATCACTGCCACGGCCAAACCCTAGAGTCGATCCCTAAGAAGCAGCGCACGCGTTCCTGAGGCCCGCTCTGCCCGCACAGGCTGGCAACCAAAGCCCCTGCACTGGTTGGCACGACCCTGGTTAGCGAAGTGTGCTGGAATGTCCTTCTCACTGCCCATCATTCACTCACTCAGCGGCATGTGTTTCTCTCTGCCAGACCATTCATCTCTTTGCCCTGGATGGTAGCAGCATGATGCCAGAAAAGCCAACAATATGCTCACACCAGCCTCCACAGAAGTTGCTTCTAAATAGTTCTTGAAATTCCACATGAGATATATATGTGCCTCCAAGGGCTGGAGAGAGTCCAGAAAGGCTGGTCTAAACTCTGTATCCCCTAAGTAAGGTCATGGAGGTAGTGGACAAATGTCTTAGCAAGACCTTGCTTGTCCATAATCTACACTATGTTCTTGATGATATAAGTAACAGAATACATTCTTTTGCAGTGAACATAATACCACTTGGGTTTATGTCATATTTGTTGTTTCTATAGTCAATTAACATGTGCTGCAACACACTGTATTTTTTTTTAATTATCCAATTTTAATTTAATACAGATTGTACAAAAGAAATTCACTACATTTGATATTGCCTGGTTAGTCACCAAGCTCAGAATATTGCTTATCTTTGCTGTTGTATAACAAAGATAATCACAAAAGCCAAATCTTTCATATCTCTTTCATATATTGCAATAATTATGAAACATTGTGTAGACTTTAAAATAAGTTGTTTATAATCATAGTCAAAGGAATTCTACACTGTCCGACAACTAACTTTTCAATATGCACCAGCCATTTACACATACTGAACTTTGAATTTTTTATTTAAACTTTTAAAACACTTTCAAAATTTAAAATTAAATTTTTTGTGTAGTTTTAAAGGTTATACTCCATAATCTGCATTTTAAAATAACCCATGGGTACTTGAAGCCACTTGTTCCTAAAGGAGCAGTCCTATGACCTTGTTTTATTTTGGAAGACAGGTTTTCTAACCAAATCCCTTTTGTGATAACTTTTGAGAGAGATCCAGATTACATGTTCATTTCAAATTATTGGAAATCAGTTACCATTCAGTTGATTTGAACAACCATTCTTTAAACTGTAGACAGTGTGATTGAAAACCATTTCAAATATTCCATGGCCAGACATGAGTGTTGTCCAGTATGTTTAAAAATTATATTCAAGATTATCCTTGATTTCCCCATTAGAATAAGATGGACTTGGAAAACTGTTGCGAGGGAGAACAAGAGACAAGACAGAAGAGACCAGTCCAGGAGGGTAACAGTGACTCCCTGCTGAAGACTAGGGGAGGCGATCCACTGGAGGAGAAGGGCAGGTATGGGCCGGTCCAGGCTGTTCATCCGTGTGTGTGCGGCGGGGCTATGCCCCTTCCCTCCATCACTAGTGCAAGCCATATTCAGCTCTGAAATTATCTTCCAGTAACACATTATCCATATATCATTGCCTGAACACATTCTAACAGCTCTGAAGCCAGTGTCCTTATGCTATTGAATAAGAATAGTCTAGTTTTTAAATAGGTAAAACCTTTTTTAAACAAGGAGAGACTGTGCAGATCACCCAGGAGGCTGGCTCTGCTACCAGCAAGTTCTTTATGATAGAAATGTTTGCCGCTGGGGCTCCGATACNGGGCTCCGATACGTCAGATAGATAGTGACAAGTGTGCATGTATCTGTGCGCATACACACTTGGGTACACGCTCATAGCATCCCTAGAGGGACCCAGAGAAACAACAGGTTATCTAAGTATTATTTTCAAATCCTGACCCATTTGAAAGGTTGGTTGGGAGCTGAACTCTCCTGGTGGGACTTGCTCTGAGAATTCTTCTGGGCTCATCAGCTAGAAGACTCACTGAACTGCAGGATGTTGGAGTGTGGGGCCCATGTCTGGAGCCTGCAGAGTCCTTTAAACAGCACATCCGTTTTCAGTTAAAATTATTTACAGAGCGTTTCCAGTTTTGAAATCCACAAGTCGAGAACGTCTGAGGGATGCTGGTAAACATTTTACGTGAATTATTGCTATTTCTCCAGACAGTCCGCATTGTCACCAGAAACTTTGAAAAGATCTCCTCCATCTCTCCTTTCTTGGCCTTTGCTGTTATTTTTTTAGACACTAAGTCGTGTCCAACTTGCTACTGAAAGACCAGTGAATTACCATAGGCTGCCAAAGCCCCATATGGCCAAAATGCTTTCTACAGTAAGCCCTCTCTTGTGGAAATCTGGGGGAGTATAGTTAGCTCTGTCATGCCTCAAAATTATTAGAATGAAGAGTTTTGTGGACAAGGAGGTAGAGAGGATGTCAGAAATGATGATTTGTTAAATTGACGGATAGTGAAAATGCAAAGCGTTTTACAGGATTCTAAATCCATTTTAAATCTAGTTTAGAATAATAAGAATATTTAGTTGGCCCATTCTTTTCATTTTGTAATTGGTACTTCCTTGTCCTGAGGGATAAGATCAATCATTTCAGTTGCTTTTATCCCTGTTCTGAAATATATTTCTTTGTTTTAGCAGCCTAACTCAAGGGGTCGTGACTCACTCTGAGAACCCTGCCCCAGAAGGCATCTCGCTGCAGCTGGATACAGAAGCTGGGGCCCCACACCATGGGGTGAACCCACAGCGCGCTCAGGGTAAGGATGGAGAAGATCAGCTCCCACGTTTCATTGGGCTTCCCAGGGGGCGCTAGTGATAAAGAACTTACCTACCAGTGCAGGAGACTTAAGAAATGCGTGTTTGATCCCTGGGCGGGGAATAACCCTTGGAGGAGGGCATGGCAAGGCGCTCCAGTGTTCTTGCCTGGAGAATCCCATGGTCAGAGGAGCCTGGTGGGCTACAGTCCATGCGGTCACAAAGAGTCAGACAACTGAAGCGATTAGCAAGCACACATGCGTGTTTCTATTATCGTAAGACCCCTTCCCCACCCCGTCATCCGGACAGATGCGGCCTCTATGCTAAAGGGCACAGTGAGTAAACTCCCACCACGTGCCCCAGGACGTCCCATGAGATCACTGTGAGCCCTCAGCAGGCATTCGCACTTTAAAGAAAGGAGATTCCTAAGCACGAAGGTAGCAGCTTTACCGAGCACTAACTGTATGTTCTTTCTTTGGCCTCAGATCCATCCCAGAATCAGCAGGTATCAAACCCACCGATGCACATTTTAGAAGATGTGAAGCCAAAAACCCTTCCATTGGACAAAAGCATTAACCATCAGATTGAGTCTCCAGGTGAAAGGCGGAAGTGAGTAACCAAATAAGATG